GAAAATTAGTTTTGTCGCCCATTTACGAAAGATAAACTAGTGTCATCGAAGCTTTGTCGGATTTCAGAGAAACAGCGAAATCTCTGGCAGACTTTGTTCTATGTGCGTACACCTACTTGCTTGCGCATATTAATTTCCAATGCCAGTCCGTACCCATGCAGAGGCATTGGGGATTGGAGTTCGCGTTTGTACCTCAGAACAGACATGACAAAATCCATTGGTCATGTAAACTACCGTCTGCACATATAGATGAAGATTCAACCAGTCAACCAATCGACGTCTACTAGCTTACGCAACTAACGCTGATACCATTCACTCTGAATGGGTCTTATTTGTGCAAACTGATGACGGGACTGTTTACGTCTTCAGGCAGCCATGACTTTGCGATAATAACAGCGTACAGAGGAATACCCTCATTATTCTCCATGAACAGTAGCAGTTCGTTGCAATGGTCACTGTTCAGTGAGTACTCAAAAAATAATCAAATATCTCAGATATCATAGGGCCTTGTACTCAGCCTTCTGCAAAAGGGCCGATTTTCGATGATGCCTTCGGTTTGACGGTTGAGTATGTCAGCATGGAAAAAACGTTTCACACCTGTAGGGGGTTGGAAAGCAACAGAAACATCATGGAAACTGTGGGGTCTTCATGTATAGCAAAATAGCAGTGATGGAAATAGCGCATGCCTTTTTGATAGCAGCTGTTAAGCGCTAGCTAGTGCAGAAAAGTGATTAGGCCATTAGCGATTGCCTAATGCCACTTTACACAACGAATCTCAATGGTTCAGCGGCAGAGGTCGGTTTCGAACTATGACTGTGCCAGGTTCAAATACGTTCAACGGTCAACCTGTGTTTTAACGGCTGATTATCTTGAACCAGGAATTCACCACAGCTTGATTCGATGCAACTACTTTACAGGCGGGTGTCAAATCACAGACTGGCATGCAACAGGGCGTATGGTACTTTGGTGTGGTCACACCAGAATAGCCGAAGGATTCGGTCGTGCTCTGTAATACGAGCCCTTCATATAGCTGCAGTTCTCTCTGACCTACCTGAACGCTGATTATCCAATGTGATAACCTGCGTATCGTTAACCCCTGCTATTGCTGAATATTTTTTCGCGCCACTTCGAGCTTCGTGCCTGAGAATTTAAAAGTAACAATGTTATTGTGCGTCATATCTGCGAATAGGGTGACACCGTCTATTCGGACTGTAGGAATCTTTCAAAGGTCTAGTTTTATCTCTTCGATAAATAGCTCATTGTCAGTACATGGCCTACTTTTCACAAGTTGCTAAGTTTGCAATTTGAACATATTTGCATTATATGACTGCATTTTTGCTCACATGCGGGATACATTATTAGGACATTCAGCATGAGGAATCGTCAAATAATAATATCTCACAGCACATGGAGGAGTCATTCGCTACGGGACATATTCTGGCTTACGAATAGCTTATAATGTTCATGCAATGGCATATATCATATCAGCTCCTGAAACATTATTCGCGATGAGCTCGAAGTATCAGGGAAAATGACGCAAGATGCATTTGGTACTGCAGATACTCAAGTATCACGGAGTGGTGACTTGTTTGAATGACCCATAAGCAACTAGGAGCAAGGGACGGTGCAACGTGCCCTGAAATCTGATTTTGGACGAGTCATTCGTTACAAGACACGACAATGCATAACATGACAGAATATCGCCGGGGAATATCTGAGCTTGAAACCTATCTTACCGAACAAGCAGCGATTAAATAACGCATTATTCTAGGCTGATTCCAGAAATTCTGACGACTCCAAAGAAATAACGGTGACTGGCCATTCGAGAACCGGAGGTCAGCCGGAAACAGCATTTATGTAAGAGCACTGGCCACGCCTGAAAATGCATGTTATGCCGAGTTCACTGTAAGTAAGCATATATGTTTTGTACAGTGCAGCAAACGTTCGCATACGCCTTTTGATGACGTTATGTTCGCTGAGCAGCAATGCGCATATGAGGTAGTCCGTCGCACAATGTTACTGACCGTCGACCTTCTGCTGTCAACATCCCGGCGTCGTCCTGGCTGCCCTCGCACTAATATGAATGATGCCATGTGACATAACCCCAGCTGTGAACACGAACCATACGAGCTGTACCTAGAAACCAAAACAAAACAAATCACTTGCTAGCATGGCATATCGACCGCCATTGAGTCACCATTTTCTGCGAAGTTGTGTAAGACAAAGCATGAAGTGGAAAACGGTACACAACGAAACTATCAGTTTTAGAATATGA